AAAAGCACCCTCTTTGCAGCCCAACACCGATTCAGCATGCCAAACAGCAAACCCTGCCTCAGTGGCCCAGAACCGTCGCCCTGGCCATGCCAGCGTCTCGACCACCTGCTGGCCTCCCTCTTGAGGACCCGCGCCTATCTCTGTTCTCAGAGGCAGCTAAGGGTGCTACCAGAGGACCCCCTCCCTGGCCTGGGCCAATTCCAAATGTGGCCTCTGCTCCGGCCTCGCAGCCCTCTGGGGACTCCAAGAGCTATTTCTGCTGCTCCATCGAGTGGCAGGAGGCAGTGAGCGGGCATCAACAGCATCCTGCAGCTCCCCTGGGTTTGGGTGTGTCCGTGATCCAGAGCTTCAGAGGCTGTGTCCATGGTTGTCAGGCACGCTCCTGGGGCCTTGCCGAGCCCGAGGGATGGGACGTTGGCGGGCAGAGCAGAAGGAGCCAGTCCTGGGGCTTTGTGAGCGGTCCCTTCCTGTGATCCAAGAGAGAGGAACCTCCTCTGCTTTTTCACCAGATGGAAAGGAAGAAGCACACTGGCAGGATTCTAAATTCCAGACCGGCCGCGGGCTCATTCCCTGGCATGTGGGTAGATGGAGTATGTGCCCCTGACACACTCAGGTCACTGCTTTCCCGGCACGGCACCGGCTGAGTTACTGAAGTGGTTTTAACCCCTTCATGGGCTTCTTGGTCCCCGTTCCTCCTCACTGTACACCCCCCACCCCCAAACTCTGCTGGAGTCTCATTCTCACCATGGGGCGTTTCGGTCCCAACCTGGCCAGCTTCCTGGAATTCAGCCCAAACCAATACTTTTGCAGACTCCCTGCAGGGTTTCAAAGAACCTTTCCCTGTAGTCACCAAGGAGGAGGTTCCAGCCCCCTGGACTGTGCCTCGGACACCGGTGGGCAACTGCACCCTCTTACCCCCCAAGTCAGCTGCTCACCCTCACCATCCAGACCCCTACAGCCAGGAAAACGGCCAGGAATGACCCCAGGCCTGAGAGTAGGGGTCAAGTTTTTAAGAAGATGAAGCCGACTTCCAGGTCTAAAACTACCTTTATTTGTGGTTGGCGCTGCGTAAGACGCCTTTATCAATCAGCAGAATTATAAAACTGTACAGGAGGTACAAAAATAGGCTGTTTAACTTAGATAATTACCCTCACATCAAGCTTTAAAAATACACATAAAAATTGTACAATCTGGCAGTTTATAAAATATAAAGCTAAAAAGAGGATTGTAGGTTCACAGAGAGGATTCTATCATACAATTAACACATACCCATTAAACAACTGTCCACAGAGAAGACACAATGGCACAGAATTTTTTTAAAAAAATCACTCAAAAAATAAAATTTTTACCCTGACCAAATTTCTCACCCTTTAATGATAAAACTACTGTGAGGCGTCCATCCCATGGAAGGACACAGTATAACTTTTCTTTTTCCAGTTTTAAAATGGTCAGGGGTGTGTTGTCCAAAACAAATCTGATATGCTTTAAAAGCAAGTGCAATTATAGCTGGATATACGTCAGAGTAAAAATTAAATAAATATAAATAGGTTAAATAAATAGGTCATGGCAAAAAGAACACTACGTAAGGTTTGCATTTGAGAATGCCGCATGGTTGACTGGTAATGCTCTCTAGGTAAGTGGGGATGCCCCCGTCACAGCTTTTGGGATACTGAAAAGGAACACTGTACCCGCCAAACACATACAGAGCACAGGGTGAGGCGAGTGGGGTGGGGACTTTGGCCGGAAGTGGAGGTTAAGGCTGCCCCAGGGGGAGGCTCATTACAGATGCGCTCTTTGTGGTTTCCCAATGAATACAGAAAGGATTCACGCGCAGATACAAAAAACTGGAACCAGGGTTACTTGTGGGGGAAATCACTGTTTCATCAAGAAAACAAAGTACAGGATGAGGAGACACTTTGGTTTAAAAGATCATAGTCCAACCTTGGAAGGTGGCATTTTGGCTCATCTGTATGGGACACCCAGTGACTTTCTTCCAGGAAAGGCCAATGCCAGGCCACACTCAGCTGCAAGGACAACTCCAGGATGGTGAAGGAATCAGCAAGGAAGAGACACTGGGATATATGAAGAAAAAGGAGTTCAGACGCTGCAAGAGCAGAGAATGTAGAGAGGCTCTGTCCAGGTGTGCTGTGCTGGCTCTTCCAGGGCTCACGGCACAGAAGGCAGCAGCAGGTGAACCAGCCTACCTTCTGCGAGGACCTCCAGGCTGAGGACCCAATACACAGAGCGGGAGAGCGAAAGCACTCAGGAAACCCAAACCCAGCCGGAGCCCAACTTCTGAAGAGACAGCGGCCAAGAACAGAAAGGCCTACAACCCAGAGGCCCCCCACATCTGCGAGAGGCCGATCAGCAGCCACTGCATCTTTCACCGTGGTGTGAAAGAAGTGCAATGGTCAACAAATCACATTCACACAAAACCTTGCCCAAAGTTGATTCTGAGCAAGGCCTTTTCTTCTAGAGTTGGTAGAAAGAAAATACTTTGCGGGGCCCACTAACCTGTGGATCTTCTAATCCGTGTAACGGGTCAGAGTGAGGCCTCACTGGAAAGAGCCTAGGACGGCTATGGCACGGAGGGGGAGGGGCGAGGGAGAGCCCCTCTGCACCCAGGGTTTTAGAGACTTACCACGGACACCAATGATCCCCTAAAGTGCAAGTGCTCTGATGCCTAGTGACATGGGAGCTCTCGATAAACTGCAGTTAAAAGACTCAAGAAGCAACCGGAGAAATTCCGGCAGGCGTGCCAAAGACAGATTCAACACAGGATTTAATGAGAGTGTCCCTGGGATTCCCAACATATATGACTAAATTCTGTCATGACAATGAAGATAGTGTACTTCTAAAAAGTTAAACAGCCTTCCAGGCATCGTGCTAAAGATCAAATAGCTCCGCTGTGACAGGATGCACAAGGCTGCAGAGCCCTGTTCTAGCAAAGGACAGACACCTTCTCATTGTGCAGAGCACAACAGGAAACCAGGATTCTAGAGACCAGAGAGAGATGTGGCAGAGGATGCCCGAGCAGTTTGCACGACCAGGGTCCACATGAGACCTCTTCAAGCCACCTGAGGGGCTGAGGAGTGACCAGGTTCCTAAAAGTGACAGAGAGAAGGCTGATGGAGGACAGCTTTTCCTGGAGCCCTGATCTTTACTGTTTGTTGTCTCTCTCCCTCTACGCTCTCACAAAAGCAGAGGTTTTGCCTATCTTGTTCACCTCTGCGACCCCAGCCCCTGGAATCCAGTCTGGCTCACCCCGCAAGTACCCAGAACCCAACACATCGAATACATGAATTTGAGAAGGTGGGTGGCTAGAAATGAAGAGGAGAAGCAGAAAAGGCACGTGAAAAACCGTTGTCCTGGAGACAAGGTGGGCCCGAACAGCGAGACGACAGAAACCCTGGGCAGCCAGAAGTGACTGGCTACTCCCCCAATGACACCGTTCGGCCACAAGACAGAAGCAGCACAGAGAGCCGACAGCCTGCCCGTCACTTGTGGCACCTTCTCCACCTGATTGCCTGGTGGGGTGGAGGGCATCGCCACTCAGGCCTGGCCGCAAAGTGACCACAGGGCCACAGGGACAATGGCATGGATGCAGCAGGGCAGGGAGAGGGCAGGCATCTGGCCGGGTTCCTGAAAAATGGGCGGTATGGCAGAAGACTCACCACAATGCCAGCCCAGAACACTGGGGTTCCCAGGTCTAGATGAGGTAACCGGTGAGGGTGGAGGATAACGCAGATGGAGGATAATGTGAATTTAAGGAAAAAAGTGACTCCAGGCATTATGAAAGGAAGGGAACTGAATTCTACGAAGACAGAAGGAGAGCTTTTGAGGAGTGGCCCTCAGTCCAGTCCACCATCAGGAAGCATTTCACAGAAGAAACAGTGAGTTCTCAGTCCGTCAGTAACATCCTCACTCCCGAGTGGAGTCTCCGAGCTCCCCAGCCCTGAATGAAGCACGGGGACCCACTCACCTGGCTGGACAAAGGACACGGGGAACACCTCCACACTGTAGCCTGCTCACATTTAACTGCTAAGGCTCTCGATAGAGGAAAAGACAGGAATTTTTGACTGAAACTAAAGTTAAAAACTACACTAATTTTAGCAAAAAAAGATATTGACATAATTTAGGAAATATTACTTTGAAGTTGTTTAATGGATGTATATAACCCTGCTATACTGTTTTACTCCCGCAGCAGAGCATGTTCTGAACGTGAACGCTCTCTCTGGAGGGGATGGAGACTTTTGGTACCCACAAAATAAAAAATGAATTATGTATCTTGCATTTATCTTCTTCACAAGGAAGCTTCAAGTTCAGCTTACTTATGCTAACACAGCATTCTACAGTATGATCAAAATATAAAGTTATTAAAATCTGCCAAGAGAAACATTAAAGTCTTCCCATGAAGCCCGGGGTGACCCTGGCCTCTTCTCCCGACCCCCTGGCCTGTCCTGCTGGCTCCAGGGACGGAGGAGCCTCAGTGCCCACCTGCTGGCCAAGGACTCCCCCAGGGTGGCCGTGAGTGTCCCATTTGGCCTGCTCCCTTCTGGTCCCAAAGGCCTATTCCTGCCTGGGTGCTGCTCTTCTTGATGGGGAACTTATCACCTCTTGCCCCCAAATGCTCCTAAACATCCCCCAAATCCACCAAACGTCACCGATGTGCTGGGCTACCGTGGACTCAGGACAGAGCGTCCTCTTCATTTCTAAGAGATCTGCAGACACGGCCTCATGTTCCAGTGTGCGGTGCTCACCTGTCCCAACGCTGCGCCTCACACTCAAGACTCTCGCTGCCCCCAAGGAACACTGGTCAGAGTGAGCTGGGAAACTCTGGGCACGTTCGTGATGAGTGAGGCATCTCCGATGCCCAGGAACGACACACTGTGAATGACTTCCTCCTCCGTAACACCCCTCACCTCTGGAGCCCCACTTCAAGCAGAAGCTGTGCTTAGTGCTTCTCAGGCTCGCTGGCCGGGGAGAGAGATGCTCCTGGTCCCGGACACAGGCAAAACGTGGGATTCCCTCCTCTCTCTTCCTTACAGGCCCACAGGCTGACATCAAACAGGAAGTTGAAAAAAAAAAAAATGTAGGTCTGAAGCAAGTGCATCCAGGAGAAGGTGGAGGATGCTTCTGTCGCTGCCTCTGGGATGGGCCCTCCTTGGCAGAGGACCCCCGACTGCTGAACTTTCGTGGTCAACATCTTCCCAGCTCCTTACAGGTCAGAACGGGTCATGGTTCTTGCTTCCTGGGGTCGGCATCATCCCCTGCTGGCTGCACTGTGGACAGCTCAAGGCACTTGGTTTGGGAGCCTGGTCTCCTTGCCAAGCCGGGAGGCGTCAGGCTCGGGCTTGTAGAGACCAGGCCCACAGTCACAGCTGGGGCCACCAGAACGGAGGACCACCCTGGCTCAAAGGGTGTCTGGAGTCACTGGAGGCCGGGGCTCTGGGGGCTCGTGGAAATAGTAGGGCTGGAAGAGCCGCTCATGGCCGCACGGCTCCATGGCCCGGTAGGTGTGGGAGAGGAGGTAGGGGAAGCGGGACGTGAAGTAGCGCACGAAGTCGTCAGGGAGGGAACCCAGCGTCTCCCGCACCTCCACGGGGAGCTCCCGGTAGTGGTGCTTCTGCAAACAGGCGGACACACAGACACAGGGGTTAGCAGCTGGAAAGCCCAGGAAGCATGGGTAAAAGATTCTCTCGCTAGTCAAGGAAGATAGAACGTCAGTTGGTTCTCTGTCAAAGAGAAAAGACTCAGATACTCAACGGTCCATCCGCCTACCTTCCCTGCTTCCCCTCATTCAGGAGGGCACCTCAGAGCTGAGTCAGGCCCAGGGCTGGGGAGGCAGGAAGGAGCTGCCCTACCAGAGTGGCCCACTGGCCAGGCCCGTGTGGGAAGGTCCCCATCAAGGGAGTTTATGCCGTGCCGTCTCAGACAGGAACAGGGCATACACAAGTCAGCAGAGACCACAGATGACACCAGACAGCCCGCTTCCCAGAGCGGAACTCCTCACCTCAACATCCCGGAAGAGAAAACCCGTCTAAGGGAACAAGTTGGCCCTGCGAGGTCAGAATTCTAGTACGAATGGAAGGACCCACAGAGAACAGAAAGGAGAAAGGTGGCTGTAACCCCTGTCACCAGGACCACCGGGAGTTCACGCCCCTTACCTTGTTTCTCATGGCTCGGAGGAGGTCTCGAACGGAGCCACCTTTATAGGTTCTGAATTTCCGCAGATCTAGGGAAAAAACAAGGAATGCAATGTAACAAACCCATTTCTAAAGGAAAAAAAATTCCTGGGGCTCCTGGGGACGAGCGATCAGACTGAAACACAACAGAACTATGCCACGCTCGGGGTTAAAGGAGTGTGTCCCCCAGAGTGAGCCTGACCGAGGGCAGCACTATAAATGCCACCTCTGGGTTGCACCCACAAGTACAAATAACCATTAAGAGCACGGCACCCGTCACTAACCTGTCATTCAAAGAGACGAAAATGAAACCCACATCAGCGTAACGAACCCCAGAGGACACACCCACGAAAGCCTCAACCCTGAGAGGAGGATCTGGAGCCCAGACCGCCTGGAGCTGCCAGCAGAGCTTCTTAGAAACGGCTACTGCTCTTGAAACGTTTCCGCCAACATGCATGGCCGGGGCGTCGGCGTGGTCACCTGTTTGCAGGGGGACGGTGATGTTCTCCCTCCAGTCCATCTTCACCACAGCTCTCCCGCCTCGCTCCAGCTGCTTCACTATCGGGCCGTCCAGGGACTCCTTTTCTATTCGGTCACTCACGTCCTGTGAGGGTGACAAGGGCAGCAGATGACGGTCAGGGTGTGGAGAACCGGAAGCTGGAGGAGCGACACACACACAAGTCACAGACTGGTCTCTGCCACATGAGCCTTGGGCCTCAGGACTGACAGGAAGTGTTGTGCCTCGGTCCCTCCCGATCCGTCACCCTCTCCCCCGCGAGCAGCCCCGCCTGTGGCTCACTGGGGAGAGACCCACACAGACCACCTCCGTGACAGAGGGAGGTGTCACACCTCTCCACAAACCCTAATGCCGCACCCACGTCTCACCCCTGTGCATACACACCGCATCTCACACGGAGCCGTAGTGCAATCAACGTTCATCAATGAACAACAACAACAAAAGCTCAATTTTGATTTGCATCTTGGGCTTTTCTGTCAACGCAGGGAAACAGGACATGCTCAGATCCACAGCTGGTCAGCACTCCTCATACAAACAGTTAGAAAAGACAGATGAAGGCCTCTTTGAGAGGAAGAAAGTTGCTGACAAGCGTGTGGGCTCCGGAGGCCCTGCCCTAGCCTCGCACCCTGCCCTGTGTCCGAGGGCCACAGCCCGAGCCGAGCTCGAGCTCCAGCAGCTGAGGAAACGGAGCGAGGAGCCCCACACGTGTTGATGCGGCACAGACTCACTGGCCATAGTCTTTTCTTTCTTTGATGAAGATGAAGCCAGACTGGCTGACTCTCAAACTTACAGTGGCTAGAGGAAAGCCCTGGACGCCCTGTAGACACACACTTCTGCCGCAGAGCCGGGGCGGCTAGTTGATAAAACTCGAGACACGTGTGTTCACATGAGAGAGGGCTTGGAAAAATGAAGAGTTTAAATCTTAACCCACAGTAGGCTGGAGGTCCCTTTGTGTGAGCTTTATTCTTGTGCTACATCTTGTCATCATCAAAGGAACCTGGCTACTTTCCAGAAGTCCCTTGAGGACACCTGACCTCAGAACTGTAATGTTACGACCCGCGGAACACAGTGAACAATCCTAATGTTGTCCGTGGAAAATGGCACGAAACCCTCGCCTTCCCAATCCATCCAAATACTTAGTAAGCACCTGCCACATGCCAGGCAGAGCAGACACAGCAATGAACCGGAAGTCAACCACTGCTGCCCTCAAGAGCTTAAATACTGGGGGCTAAGTCTCTAGTCAGATTCCAGGACAGGGCGATGGTCACTCCTAAACCCAAGCTTCACTCTGACCCAGCCCCGGGAAGAAAAGCACTGAGCCCGTGTGCTTGCTTTCCAGAGCTGGTGTGCTGGGTACGATGTGTTCTGACAAGCTATGCTGAACTGACACCAGGGAAGACTCTGAGAAACACGTTCCCTTTCTACAAAAGCCACTGGGCGGGCAATACCACAAAGCCTTAAAACAGCCAGACCACCGACAGAGCTCATCTCTACTGATCCTATTAATTTCACGTCTCAGAATCCAACGTAAGCAAAAAGAGATCTGGACAAAGATTAGGTAAAAGAGGATAGAAAGAATCCAATGTAAGTAAATGTTTAGATTTAGGGGACTCGAATGAAATTATATAATGCCTAAGATTTGCTTCACAGTAATCTGAGGTGGAGATTTGAGGAGGGAGTAGAGGTTCAGTTATTAATTGCTGGAGCTGGAGAATGGATAAAGGGGAGTTCATGATAGTATTCCCTCTACTTTTGTGTATATTTGAAAGTTCCCATAACATAAGGTTTTTAAATTATGGCACATCCATAGGATGAAGTACCAGAGTCATTAAAAATTTAGAACTTTAACATGGAAAAAGAGTATGTTAAAACACTACGTTTACAGGGGTGCCTGGGTGGCTCAGTTGGTTAAGCGACTGCCTTTGGCTCAGGTCATGATCCTGGAGTCCTGGGATCGAGTCCCGCATCGGGCTTCCTGCTCAGCAGGGAGTCTGCTTCTCCCTCTGACCCTCCCCCCACCCATGTTCTCTATCTCTCATTCTCTCTCTCTCAAATAAATAAATAAAATCTTTAAAAAAAACAAAAACAAAAAAAACTACATTTACTACTACAAATACTACTAATGCTATTAAATACTGTAATGAAATACTGTATCAAAATATAAGGTACTGAGAAAAGAAAAGGATACAAAATTGTATATACAGTTTGACCCTAATCACACTTTTAGCTATATGAAGAAAATATGTTAAAACGCCAACCATGGTTATCTCTTGGTTATGGGATTAGGAATCATTTGTTTCATTGTCTTTTGCTCTGTTTTTTAAAATCTGGGAGAAGTTAAATGAAGGCTTTTGATTAAAAAAATACCCCAAAACCAAAAACCCAAGAGACTGACCTGAAAGAACTGGAGCTGCTTTTCCAGGCTCCAGAAGAACGGATGTTTCAGCACGTGCTTTGCGGACGGGCGTTTCTGAGGATCCATTGCGATCATCTTCTCTATTAATTCCCGGGCAATGACATCTTCTACAAAGGAGGAAAACAAGCAAGGAACTCATTATCACTGGCCCACAGTCGCCGTGAAATACCTGAACCTTAACAGCACGCGTGCCTTTTGATTCAAGATTCTACCGACTGGAGCTCACTGCAATAATGGAATTAAGAACAAACGTCAGCTGACGCGGGGGGGGAGGGGGCGGTCTGGGAAAACGAGTAATTGGAGATACCCGCTAGTGGAGGCTCCGGTAATGCTGCCTCCAGGTCCTGGGCTGTGCTCTTAAAATGATGATGCCCTGTGGAGCACCTGTGGAGCACCGATCAACAGGGAGAGGGGTTCGATGGCATGTACGATTTACCTCCATGTTTTACAAAAGGACGCACACCTGTCTAATTAGAAGACTGGAATAAGATATACAAAGGTATTAATAGCAGGAATTCATCACGGTGTAAAGGAGTTGTGGGTCTTTATGCTAACCTTTTGTTTCTACAGGGAATAAGGAAAATTAATCCATGAGCAAAACAGTAAGTTAGTTTTAATTTTTTTTTTAAAGATTTTGACTGAGAGAGTGCACACACATGCGCGCAGGGGAGGGTCAGAGGGAGATGGAGAGAGAGTCCCAAGCAGACTCCATGCTGAGTGCAGAGCCTGATGTGGGGCTCGATCTCATGATCCTGAGATCATGACCTGAGCCGAAATCAAGAGTCAGACGGTTAACCGACTGAACCACCCAGGTGCCCCAGTTTTAATTTTTTAAAAAGGTGGCACTGGGTGTCATGGGTCAATTATAACACAGGAAACCCTGAAGTCAGGAAGAAAGACTTGTTGCCCCTGCACCCGGACAGCAAGACCCAGCCTGTCTGTCCCCAGCCCAGACCACACCCACTGACCACTGGCCTGCACACAAGAGTTTACAGAGCATGGACTGTTTTCCTGAATGTCGGTGCAGGAAGGGACCTCAGGTTACTTAACCCCTCACAAGTCACAAGCAGGAAAATAGAGGTCCCCAAAGGGGGCCTTGCCCAGGTCACACAGGTCATTGGGTGACCTGAAGGAACCTCAGAGCTGCCTGGCTTTAGGAGGAGGTGCTCCAAAGACAACCTACCCAACCTTCTACCAGCTTCGGAATGAGTCATCAATTCACGGAGGCCCACAGGGCAAGCAGTTGGAAAGAAGGGTCTCGGGGGGCACAGAGCCGGCACCCTTCCAGGCCAAGGGTCCACCTGGGCAGCTAGGGTGGCTCCCGACCTCTCCCACCCTGCGGCCCGCTCACCGTGCTTCTCGGGGTGCAAGCAGTCGAGGCTGTAGGCACCCAGGAGGATGTTGGCCTGCCGCTGCAGGGACTTGCCAAAAGGGTGGCTGCCTTCTGAGATCACATAGTAAAAGACACAGCCTGCAGAGAAGATGTCCACTGTGTAGGTCTGAAAAGAGAGGCAGGGTGTAAGAGGCCTTCTGGAGAATTCTCATCCTCAGCCTCAGCAGCAGCGAGGACCGGAGTGTTGCTACCGCTTCTCCCACCTTGAAGGGGTCCCGGGAGACTCGTCTAGCATGTTGGCAGTGCCCAGAGCTGCGCCGGCCCCCTGCAAGGGCTGAGGGCGTGCTGGCGTTCACAGTGGGGAATGTGGGCTCTAGAGCTGATGGGCTGGGGCTGGAAGTGACTGGAAAAGTTGTGGGGGGGGGGTAGTAATTGCCCATATATGTCCCTTTCATTCTTCTGAATGGCAGACCATATGGAAAGTGCCAGCAGCATGCTGTTCACACAGAAGCTCTTTGACAAAGAAATGTCATTCTTCATGTGCCACAGCCCCCAAGTCTTAAATCCAGAGGCTGTCACTCCTGAAGGGGCGGGAGGCTGAGAGCTGTGCCCAGTGCTCACCGGGTTGTCTTTGCAGTCTTCGCTCAACATCTCCGGAGCGATCCAGCCTTCCGTGCCCGGCACTCCTGAGCGGCGGCTGAAACTGTGCCGGCCTACTGCCAGCTTCTTGCAGAGGCCGAAGTCCGAGATCATGGCCTTGGTCCTGCCATGCGCGTTGGGCATGGAGAGGAGAATGTTGTGGGGCTTCAGGTCTCTATGAACTAACAGAACGCTCCAGATCAGTCCCATATTTACCGTGAGTAGTGTCAGGGAGTGCACTCTCTCTGACTCCCAGCAGGCCTGCTGCCACCTCTAAGGGTTCTGGTCTGCGACTATGAAAGGTTCCTCCTCAAATTCTTATTGTCAAAAGGCCACCTAAAAACCCCACGTGCATGCCAGCGATGAAGCATAGATTCTCAGCAGAGGGATGCACCACGCCAGCAGTTGGCCACCCTCCCCAACCTCCCCCTCAGCTGGGGTGTGGCCTGGGAAAGGGAAGCTTCTCACCAATGTTGAGGGAGTGCAGATGGGCCAGGCCCGAGGTGGTCTGCTGCAGCAAGGTGATGGGCTCCAGGCCGAGGTGGGCAAAGTCCTTCTGCTCCACGTACTGCAAGAGACACCATGGCCAGGTCATGTACAAAGCCCCTCTGCAGAGAGGGGCCCCTCTGCACAGCATGCTCTTTCTTTCTTTCTTTCAAGTGATTCAATTTTATTTAGAAAAGTCCCGCCTGCAGCTTTTTGCTTTAACATTTGGGATTAGGTCAGCTCATTTTCTTTGCTCCTATTTTAAGAAAGAAATGGGAAGTTTTACTGACAACGTTCTCTGCCCAAATCCACATTTGCCAACAGAATTTCTCCTGAAGCCATAGGCTCACTTAAACAACCAGAAGTTCTGGCGGACTAGTATACAGTGATAAAGGTAAGAGAGCAAGGAATTCAAGTCCATGGCCTCATAGAGGTAAACCTGCACGTGCAGCCAGCTAACACCAAGACAGGTTCACAGTCAGCCTGGAGACGGAGCAAAAGGAGATCGCTGGAGGATCTCAAAGACCTGACTCCTCAACCAGCATCCTCCAAGCCCACACCAGCCCTGACCAGTGGTGAGAACAACCGCAGGGTTTCCTGGAGGCGCAGGGAGACAGACACCAACTGCACCCAAAGATTGCCCCACCCAACTGAAGCTGAGGTGCTGAAAACGCTCTCTGTTTGGATTGTTTGTGGTTAAATGGGCATGTGCCCCTGTCAAATGCACCACACTGGTCACTGAAATGAGTAGGCTGTGTTGTAACTTCAATAAAGTAAATATAGAGAAATAAAAGAAAAAGAAATTGCAGTCCCTCGAGCCACCGCTGCTGGGAGGAGGAAGGCTGCAGCGGCCCCAGCAAGGCCGCCCCCAGGGCCCCCACCTCCTGCAGGGTGGCCACACACAACTCGATGGCAATGTACTGGAACTGCCGGTCCCTCTCTGTGCAGAAGTAACGGATCACGTTGGGGTGCTCATCCGATTCTCGAAGTAGCTGGACTTCGCGGTCCGCGAAACTGAAACACTCAGGGAGGATCCTCTTGACAGCCACGTCGCGGTTGTCAAACATGCCCCTGAGGACAAGGATCAGGGGCTGGGTTGGGGGGGCAAGCCAGGCTGTGGAGACGAGAGACCCACGGACCCACCGTGCTCCTTGTCCCGTGAGCCAGCAGCCGCCTTGTGAGCCTCACAGCCCTGACCAACCATCACTTCCTCCCCGGAGGTGAACTCCTGCGTCTTGGCACCACACCACCGCTGTGACCCCGCTGCACCCCTAGAGCCTAGCCTGCCACCCGCAAGCTGACAGGTACTGAGACAGGCGGCGAAGTCACAGAGCTCCCAGGGCCACTCACCGGTACACAATCGTACCCTCAGCTCCGTGACCCAGCACATCCTTGGGACAGAATGAAATCTTCCCAACTATCACCATGCTGGTTTCCTCATCTGGGACAAAAACAGGAAGAAGTGGTTTTAAACAAACACAATCTAAAACACCTTGAGGCCAGAATGGTGCAAGCTTCCTGAGCTCAGATTCAGAGACGGGATCTCTCAGGCTGTATGTTCCCAGCCCGCGGCAGGCAAGAGCCCGTGGGGTCCACTCCCCCACTGACGCCCAGGACCTCGGCCTCCCCTGCCTCCTGCCCTCCATTCCTGCCTCTGCATTACTCTCAGGAGACAGGGGTTCGCCACAGATGCACCTACGATTAGCACCTGAAGCCTTCAGGGAGCAGCAGTGGATGTGCAAATGAAGAGGCCAGGAGCGGCCTCCAGCTTGAGACTGGGGCTCAGGTCTCTTGCACGAGCTCTGCATCCATCCCCTCAGAATACTGCCCTGACGGCCGGTCTGAGCCAACCCCCCAGAGGAATGGGGGTCAACAATGGCACTGTCACACGGGGCCCCTGGCTGGCGTCAGGAACGCTCTCAAACCAGACATCCAGTGGACCTCTGGCCAGCAGCAACTGCCAGCCCTCATGGAGCAAGATGGAGGGAGGGCAAGGTGGTCCCCCAAAGGGCCTCTGAGGGGGAAAGGCCCTGGGATGGCATGGAAGCCTGGGGCCGCCAGAGTGACAGGGAATGAGGTGAGAACACGGTGAACCCTTAGAAACGGCACTCCATAATCCCATGCAGACTCCCGGTGAGGACCTGGTACTTTATGGTTCTCAGATTGTGTTCAAAGGAAAGAGAAGACAGCAACTTGCTTTACCCTCATCGTCCTGATCCAGGAAGGGGCTGGTGCCAGCCTTGGAGGCCGAGCCAGTGGAGTGCAGCGAGTGGTTGGAGGCTCTGGGGGACGTGCTGGGGCTGCTGGTGCCCGAGCTCTCGGAGTATAGGCCGGATGAGTCCAAGAGCTCAGCATCCTGAGCTATGTCTCCAGGTGGATGGAAGGGCAGCTGCTGTTGCAGGAGCTGGATTTTCTCTAGTTCCTTCTGGAACTGCTGGTGCTGGAGCTGCTGCTGCTGATGCATGCTCTGGGAAGAGAGAGACACGTCCAGACAAGTGCAGCCTGCTCCCCCAGGGACACAGGCAGGGCAGCAGGGAGAGGCTCCCTGTGGCAGAAGAAGCAGGTACCCTTTATGGAACCCCACAGGGCGGGCCAAGACCAGTGAGAAGGCACAGGAGGCAGGATGGGTTCTTGCCAGTTAGGATTTCCCAGGAGAGCCCAGTCCCCCTGCTGGAGGGGCCCGGCAGGGGCAAGAGGGAGGACTCTGCTGCAGGTGGAGGCTGAGCCAGATGAAGGGTCGGTGGGGGGGGGGTCCATTTAATTCTAAAATTCTGGGACTACTATGAAAGTCTGGGAGTTGTTACAAACAAGGAACCAAACAGAGCATGGTGGATACAGGAAGACCTGGACTTGCTGTCTACCACGGTTGTGTACTCCACAGAGGTTGGCACATAGATGGTCACCAATCCAGACAGGCAGAGGAAGCAGCTGGGGCTCACAGCCTCACAGCCTGGACGTGGCTGAAACACGTGGCCTGGCCAAGTCCCACTCCCCCCATTTCACCATGCTGCCTTCCCCACCTCCCCTACTCCTCTCATCTATTCTGGAAAATTCGTTGTCATAATTTGAAGTAGCAGTGATCCGTGATTATCACTGCCTGTGTGTGGGAAGGGCACTGAAGGGACGGCTGTGTAGCCAATCCCCTCTGGGAGTTTTCTGGCTCTCGTGTACACCCCCACACTCTCTTTCTCTGAACTCGGGTTCAAATCCTGGAAATGCCCCCTACCAGCTGAGTAACCTTGGGAAAGTTATTTAACTTCCCCAGAGCTTGGCTTCTTCATTTGTGGGTAGGGCACAGCAATAATGACTTCACAGAACTGTGTGAGGTAAAATATAAAACAATGCAAGTGAACCCATTTGCACAAATGGAAGAGTTAGTCATTCCCATTCCTGTAGGGGACATGAGCTTCCCAGACACTAGTATTCTAAGGTGATGACACTTCAGTGCTCTGAGCAACCTGATGAAGGAATATTCTAGAATGTTTTATCCAACTGACAACCTATTCAACTATGTAATCTTAGCTGACTCATTTCTAATAGAAAGTGGAAGGAATGCCGCCTTTTTCACTCTAGCTGGTAAGTGGATTTTCATCTATCATGCCTATTCTTAAAAAGGAAAATACAGCTGACTATTCAAAATGACCTGCAAAAGCAAGGTTTACAAATCAGCTTTTACAATCAGTTAACTCTAAGACATAGGTTAAAAAAAAAACAACTGTCCTTTCCTGAGAAACTGGTGTCTTTTTAACTACAATGTTTCTGAAGATAAGCAAATACTAACTTTGATATGTGAAAGGAAACGCATCTGCTTGTCTGCCATGTGCGTTGCTATGCGTGGAACTCACAGACACCAGATGACCAGTACGGAAGTTCAGAAACACCCGGGAGGGCAAAGGGAAGGGGCAGAGCTTTACCAAAGGGTATGTGATGATGAAGGCCACCCAGCCGATGAGCAGGAAGGTGCTCAGGATGATGGTGGCAATGTCCTTGAGCATGGAGTCCACGGGGGCCTCGGGCTTGGCAGGGGCATGCTCGTATTTCTCTTCCACATCCTGTGAAACGGTGGTAGGCGCGTTTTCTGACGTCTGGTCAACCAGGTTGATAACCTTGTATGGGACAGAGTGATAGTGACAGAGTTCAGTAGTCACTGAACAATTTCTGGCCAGATATAAATGAGGCAAATGGTCAAGAGTAGCCATGACTACCAGGAAGGATCATACTGTAGAATGTGCTGGGTTTTTTTTTTTTTTTAAGCTCACCAGAGATCACATGGCCAAATAATCGCTGCCTTTATCAAAGTGACTATCTTGAGAGGCCAGGCTTTATTGCCGTGAGGTTATCAGTACTCAAAAACAGTTCTAAGAGCAGTACTTTTGGAAGGGCCTTCAGATCCTATATTCTTTTGAAAATCCTCGCTGAAGGCAAAGACATCCTCCTTTGAGGGTAGATTTGATATTTGGGAAAACTCTGATGTCATCGGTGACAAAGTCTGGTGAAAAGGTTGATAGTCACTTTAATAAAACCATTTCACATTAAAAAGGAAAACCCTGTGTGTGCACACATGTGGCTGAAGAACAATAAAGCAGCTTGCTTCTGTTGCTTGTAAACTTTCAGGGCAACTCCAAAAGCAAAATCATTTTTCTCACATATCCCACTATTTTTCAAAGTTTCTGAAAAGCATCAGAATCTTTTGTTAAAGAAAATTTTACTTGGAAGCCCAAAATTAAACCAGATAAAAGCGGACCTCCTGTCTCAGCCTCCGGGAGTCTCTAGGACTCCAAGAACAGTTTCGAAAAATGCATCAATGTGTTCTCAAACATCCAGTGTCCCAGGAGTGCCGTCGCCGTTTGCCCAGTGAGGCAAACGCACAGCCTCCTGGCAAGCGCAGACCTTGGCATCACCCGCCCTGCACACACCTCCCCCCTGCCCCCCGCTCCCAGACCTCTGCCTGTGCTTCTCTCCCCTCTGGCTGCCTCACTCCCACGGTGTATGGGGTGGGGGCGGCACAGCTGGTTGGGGAGCAGACAGCTGAGGAATGTATGCTGAGCATGTGACCAGGAACACTTGGTTATATTCGGTCAAGTGTTTGTTAAAAAGGTTGTCTTGTTGCCATATAAATGCACCTCAGAGTATTATAGTGGAGTTTTTAAAAGCTCTGTTCAAGTTTGGATGATTATTAAAATCTTAACTGTGGCTATCTCTGGGCATTAGATTAAGGGTCTGTCTTATTTTCTTCTCTATACTTTCATTTTCTATGTGTTTAGTGGTAGATACGAGTGACTTTAATTAAGATCAACATCAGATCAAGACCTTATGGCACCAAAGTTTTCCAAAATACCTGTCTTAGGACTCAGTGTGCTTCTCTAACTGGCTACCTCCAAAGACGACAGGCAACTTGAGATGTTTCGCTCTAGAGTCTTAAACAGCTACATAATTTTCCTTCCCTTTCTCTCTGGATAAAATCTGAGCCCTACAGTGAACTTGCAGTGATCTCCGTCCCCATATCAGCCAGCCCCCCTCGTCTTTCTCAGACTTTGCCCATAGTCCAGGCCCCTCTCAGGCTCGAGTCCCCCATTGCAGGGTTGCAGGAGTTGCCAAGTCTAAATGGCTTCTCTGGACCCCCTCCCCACCCCACTGGCCATGCTGGAATCCCCCCCTGCAGAACCACCCTCCCGCCTTCTCCAACTGCTCTGTGCCACAGAAGGCGGCCACCTATGGGCACAGCAGAGTCTCCCTGCCCTCTGGTTCCTGATTGGGACACGAGCAGATGGGGCAGGGGGAAGGAAAGGAGGTCCAATTCTTTGGGGTTGCTGAGTATGTCAACTGAATCTCCATGCTTTTCCACTGCCACCTCCCAACTTCAGGCTAAAGGATGCTAAAAGAACCCCTAGGGCTATCCACATCTGTGCGAATAATCCCTTTCTTAACTCCCCTCTGACCATCCTAATCTGGGTGGCCATCTGCGTCCAGCTGAGACCCTGCCTGGCACTCTGTCTCTCCAGAGCTCCAGGAGGGCAGCCCAGGTCAGAGGCTCACGGCAGCTACCACCTGGGTGGGCCTCCCTGCTGCCCAAATCTCCATTCTGTGGGCACGCTGGGTCCCTGCCAGACCAAGCCTCTACCAGACCGAGCAGCCAAGCCGGCCGCTTCCAAAGGGCCACTCGTGGCTTCATGAAGCTTCAGTCTCCCGCCTCCTCTTCTCATCAACCGTTGGCTCCACTGCCAGGTGCAAGCAAAGCTCGGTAACATGGTTCCTCTGCAGCACGTGGTCCCACTTCCCACCGCCCCCCACCTGGTGGCCTCAGCTCTGGTCTTGGCTCCAGAGCTGCACACGTAGGGTTCGTCCCACCTCTAGGCCTTCAACTCTGCTGTTCTCTGTCCTCCAGTGCCCTCTACCTCTGTCCCACCAGGCCAACTCCCTCCCCTGTCCCTCTGCCTTTCCCACGGCCCTCACTAAGCACTCTGTCTTCCTACCCACCAGGCCTTCACTGGGTGATGTTTGCTATGGGTTCCCCAGCATTCCTCTTCCTTCCTGAGTCCACTGCAAGCTCCAAAGGCAAGGACAAATGCCTTCCCCCAACACCTGACACGAGGAGCCAGAAACTAACTGTTCACATCCCCACTCACTTCCTCAAAGCTCTTCTTCTCTGAATCGGCAGGAATCACGTTTTCCCGATGTTTGGGCAGGTTGTTGGGGAATCTCTCCAGCATCTTGGTAGACGCAGACAGGGGGGTTTCATGGTGTCCTATGAGAGGAAACAAATTTCCATGAGACCAGTTCAGACCCTCCATGCTAAGCTTAGGCAACAGTCGCTCCCCACTGAGGAGCCCAGAGTGCAAATACCCACATTTGTAAAGCAAGAGAAAAGGAGAGGCAGAAAAATCTCATCAAGACAGAAATTTTATTACCCAGTGGCAGGTATACAGTGTTCTGGATCTCATAATGAGGGGCAAAGAAGTGTCCTTGTCAGGAGAGATGATTCAGGATCTTTGGGATATGTTCAGAGCAAGACTTCTGTGGGTAATTCCTAATTTACCTTGTGGGCTGCTGAAGCATCTTGAAGCTTCATTAAAAATTCAAGCAGTTCTCCCTTGAAGGCCTACCTTGTAAATATCACTATACTAAGGCTATCACATTCCCACCTTGGTATTTAAATTGCTCAGGTGGAGTTCTATTCCTGTTATCTAAATGGGAGCTTCCATCCTGGGAAGTGGTGAATTCACAAGAAACAGGATGCATTTGCTACGGGAGCAGGGGGTCATGGTTCTCTCAGCGCTCACTCACTGTTCTCTACGCTATTTGAAGACTACCTAGTATATGTTACACATTTCTTGAGCATCTACTGTGCGCATATTACTGTAAGAGAAACAAAGTTGAATAAAATAGGCAACTGGGATTTGATAATGGCTTGAAAATCTATTTAGCTCTGCCATTAAATGACTCCTATACTGCCCAGAAGAGCAAGTTAACTCTCTCTCATTGGGCTGTTGGCCCCAGGACGCACTTTCCTTTTTGTTCTCTCCCTGTGATTCGGATCTCACCCTATGATCTTTCTACTGCTGTCCCAAACCTATCAGAGATTCTATGGTCTATATTTCCAAGACAAAAATAAACAAGAACTAGTCCACACTATGTACATTTCTTGATCTGGAAAAATCTTTATCTTCAGGTCAGTTCTCTATAAAATCGTTCTTTTTTTTTTAAAGATTTTATTTATTTATTTGAGAGAGAGAGAGAACAGAGGAAGAACCAGACTCCCCACTGAGCAGGGAACCTGACACGGGGCTTGACCCCAGGACCCTGGGTTCATGACCTGAGCTGAAGGCAAACGCTTAACCAACTGAACCACCCAGGTGCCCCTCTACAAGATCGTTTTTTAAGGGAAACCTCGTCTTGTTTTGAACCACCACCAGTTTCCCCTTGTCTGTGAGAACTGTGAGACATGCTTTGTTGGGAAGCATGATGTCCTCACGTGGGGTCTACCTGCTTCAGACCCTGGAATCGGCCTTGCTGATGGGGCCCGGGGATCTGAATGTGAGTTTCTCTGGGTACCTCTGAAGCTCACTAACAAGAAACCTTCCCCCCTCCCCCCCCCAGGAGAAAACGGGTTGCTCTCCCATGTGTCAACCTGTGCTACAGAGCCCTGCCTGCCCCACCCCGGCCCCCAGGGCCTGCTCCCAGTGTTTCAAGTCCTGCCTCCCTGCTAGTGACCTAGCCACAGACCACTACAGACAGGATTGGCCCGGATCCTCACTTCCTGCTGTACTTCTGCTCACAGACAGGCGTCTCCCACAGCTGGGCCTTTGGTGCTATCATGCTACACACGCTGAACCAACTGTTCCACAAGCATCATCAGGAGATCCCAACACATTTTTGTACAAACAGTACCTGGACTTCGTGATTTATTTATCATCATCATCATGTCCGGATCTACTGAATCAGGATCTCCAGGGGTCATACATGCTTGTCTGACAAAGCTCCCAGGGGAAGCCAAGAGCACCCCAGGTTAGCGCCACTGCTCTGGGGAAACCCAGAGACCACACGGCTCAAGCTAAGTGGACTCATTTTATTTTCAAGACCAATGTGGGAGTGGGGATATCCTTAATGTCTTCCCCAAAAACCAAATCAAAGGACACAGTTGGACATAAAAGGGCATGTCATTTTACCTGTGGCCCCGAGTCTCTGCAAAGATTGTCAAGTAGTTCCTTATTTAAAATTGACTAAAAAATGACTTGCTCTGGAGTTCCTCCAGGGGACTTCAGAAGTGTGGGGTGATTCCCTAATTACTTCTTCATACTTTGTTGAGTTTCTCTCGTTTTCTTACTTGGACAACCTTTCCACTTTAAAAGGGTATCATTTTGCGACCTAGCCATGAAGACTTTTCCCCCATAGTTTTTACAGTCTTACATACACATTTCCTTAGTTTCCAATAATTTTTTCGCTTCTTAGCCACTGGTGAGCAGTTTATGTATCCCTTAACTGGTACAGAAAACTATGTGACCTTGTAATTTTAATGGCCTCCGCTCACAGCTATTTTCCCCCTCACATGGCCCACTCACGCAAGCTCTTGAAACTACTGTTCAAAAAAGAAAAAAAAAAGGCAGAATTACTGTTGTCTCCTTTGCCCATTATTTGGTAGAAATAAGAAGCAGAGAAAAAATGGCTACAGGGAGTCAGGAAGAACAAGACCCGGACAACCATAAAGGGACTGATCAGGACTCCAGGAGGCTCAGGCTCCTGTCTGCAACACCCAGTTACCACCCCCGCACCAGCCCGGGTGCTGCCTCAGGGCTGATCCTGAGGCCTCCTGGGCCCACACTCTTCTGAGCTGCTCCACATCCCCTCCCCTCGCGGTGCCTCCAGCGCTGCCCTCTCTCTGCCCCCTTCCACTCGGCCGCCGGCCCCCACTTGCCTCCTGGCCCCCCTCACGAGGCCGCATCCCTGCCTCTCACCACCTCTGGGGCCGGGAGGCAGTGGAACTGGGGGAGACGGGGCACACAAAGGCAAATCAAACTCGAGAAAACTCTGCCCTGCTCTAATTACATGGGACACTTGCCAGAGACACAGCTCCTCTCACGTGACTCTTGCCTTCATTTGTCACACTCACCGCCTTCGAGTGTCATCTCAACTTATCTCTGTGGCTGACGGGACCCCCCCAATTCCCCCTGAGGGCCATTAGCAAGGACAGCAACAACAGAAGCGAAAGGAAAAGGGGGGACCCCCCCACACACACACACACATCAGGGACTTCTGCCATGGCTCCTTGACCCAAGTCCAGCCTCGATCTATTCACAACTTCCAACCCTCCTGGGTCTCCAACCCTCCCCTCCCCCCAGCCCCTGCCCCAGCCCCACCCCCAGGGAACTCTTCCATAGGAATCGCCCTGGTTTCCCCTAAGTGGAATAACAAGGGTGTCTACTGGCAGAAATGAGGAGGTGGGTTCTCAAGTGCTTAGTACTAGCGCCTGGCACGTAACAGACGGTCAGTGTGCCAGAGAACTGCGCAAGTCAGTACTTGGGTTTTGGAACATTAAATGGCTTTTGAGAATTGACTTCGTAACACAGTTACCCTGTTTCTTTTCCTTGGGGGTAAAAACGGCCCCAGGTCTGAAAAACTATCTCGGACCTGAACTGAGCCCAGTGGCAAGTTGGCCACGGTCACTAGCAAGGCCGGCCTTTGCCCATCAGGGGGCAGCACGCAGCGGCCGGAACGGATGCAAAACCCGCTCTTACCAATCAGAAGCCAGTAGTTCCTCAGGTAGTTGAGCCTGTTCTTCCCTTTGAGCCCAGGGTCAAACTTGAGGTCTGTGCTGGGCGTGATCACACACTCCCCTTTGTCCCCAATGGTGACCCCGTCGGTCTGGGGGCCTTCCAGCAAAGGAAGAGTGCTGCCTCGGGGCTGTGAATAAAGCACAGGAGCGAGGTCTGGGGCAGCTCTTGTAGACGCGCACCCAAGGGGAGCGATTTCTAGTGTGGGGCTGCTCCAGGACAGTCAGAGCAAGACACAAAGGCCCTCAGATGGCAGCAGCTCCTCCCTCAACACGTGACACTGTTGCGCTGACACCTTTATCAGGGACATCTAAGTTCTTCTGTCTGGGACCTGGGAAGAATGCGTGTGGAATTCCCGGAGGCTACTGTGAGAAGCAGCGGCAAGTGAGGGGTGGAAGAAGCTCCGTCCAGGAGCCAGGTGCTGGCTCCGCACTTGGAAGAGGCTGGTAAGGTCTGAGGAGGCCTCGAGAAATCACCAAAGGATGGAAAGGATTTGAGCAGGAAAAAGGAAGGGAGGGCATTTGACGCGTGAGGCACGGCTTGAACAAAGGTGGAGAAAGGCAAACAGGAACCTTCTGGAACTGGGGAGAAGATGGGCTGTAAAACTCCCACAGAGCCCCAAGCAGTGCGGCAGAAGGGCCCCGAGGGCCCGGATGGAGACAGAGGAGGGCATGAACAGCAGCCTGGGCAGTTTAGACTTGAACAGGAAAGCAAAGCGGAATGACCAAGCTCCCTTGGCTTAGGAAGCTGCTCTTGTCATGCATCTTCCCTCAAAAAGTAGAATGTGGTATGGGCAGAAACTGTTTCTGAGGATCTAAGACCAGTGTTTGCATTCTTTACCCACAGGATGTTCAAATATAATTGAGTCATTCTTTGCCAAAATGGAAGAGGAGTGCTTGGGAGGAGGCTGCACCTGTGAGCCGCCCAGAGGAGACTTACCACAACGGCGACCCCCTCGTGAACCATGGAGGGGGAGGCATACAGGCTGGTAGAGTATTTCCCAACATACAGGGTGGGCCTAGGAGACAAGCAGAAATACGCATTCCAGCCATTTAATTTCTGCATCCCACAAAAGGGGCCTTTCTGGAGAGAAGTATCCCAGCCCCAAATGCCACGTTAAGAATAACCAGATTTAAAAAAAAAAAAAAAAAAGAATAACCAGATTAACCCCTGGCAGTCGGGCAGTGGGGACGTGAAGGCAGGGCTACTGTCCTGGGAACCTGGACTGCAGGCCCTGACTGTCACTGCCTCCAGAGGCACGTACAAGTCACCTAACTGCAAGCCTTGCTTTCCTCATCTGCCAAGGGCAGGGCTGCGCTGGACCATCCCCACGCCCGCCTGCAGAAACAACCACGGACGGTGCTCCCCCAGGAAGGACTGAATGCTTGCGGCCACTGCAGAGCCATTAAGATGGCCCTGGCCATAACCCGCTCTGACAGCCGAGCTGCCATTCTGAATTGTGACTCTTTGGGAGTCTAGAGGTTCTACAGAAGCCCTAAGAAATAGTTAGCTGCTCTCAGGTGAATGACTACAGCAAAGGGATACACAAAAAGCTCCAAACTGGGTGAGGCTTCTGCTCCCCCGCTGGCGGGCTGTCCCTGCCTGGGGCATCGAGGGGTGAGGTGGGGGGAGGGTCCGGCTTTGTCTGTGGGGTCAACATGAAAAGGCAGGGGCTGCACCTCCAGACCCCTTGTGGTTACCGTCCATTGCCAGTTTGGGGTTGGTCGTCCACTAAATTCAAACCTCTCTCAGCAGATACCTCTCATGTGAAAGGTGCCGTACAACTTCTAGAGCACTCTCCTAGTCTCATCCACTCTCTCTGCAGCTCTGCAGAGCGGGAAATGGGGATTCGGCAAGGCCAAGGGACTGAGGCACAGGTTGCTAACAGGTGGGGATGGCAAACACAAGCCTGCTGAGGCTCAGGCACACACACGGTTTTCCTGGTTTTGGAAACGAATATAACTTACAGTAAAAAATTTAGAAACTTTAGAAAGTTAAAAGGTAAAGATAGCTCTTGTCCTCCCATCAGCTGAGATAGATCCAAATTGTACTGTGGTTCTGAATCAGCAGTCTCTTATCCCTGTCCATATTTCTGATTTATTTAATACTTGAGAACTCTGAAGCGTCAAGGGATGTGCCGGTTCTTATATGCATTACAAGCTTTCCGACTGAGCCAGTCCTGGCTCTTTATCCACCTCGTGGCTTCCAAGAGGCGTGCCCTGCACCGTGGCATCCTGTGTATGGTCTGCCACGCTGCAGCAGGACCGGGACGTCTGGGTCACGGCTGCCCTATTTTGCCCAGGGTCCCCTGACTCACGTCAGCTTGCTCTTGGCCTCTGTCTCCTTGGGGAACGGGTACTTCCACTTGGTGATGCGGCCCACCTCCCCAGACATGAAGGTCAGGTAGCGCAGGGTCTCCACGGCGACGTTGATGTGCATCACCTTCTTCAGACCCTCCCTCTGCCAGACATAAAAGGCCACCACGGGGGAAGCGTAGTTTTGGATCCACAGGACGTCGCCGGATTCACTGTCCACGGTCACCACCAGCCCGTCGCCGTTGGACACAAAGTGGGACATCTCTGTACAGATCAAATAAACAAAGCATGCCGTCTCACCCCATCTTGTGACCACATCCTCTCTGTCCTGGCAAGTGGCAGTCACTCAGCTAGAGGAAACAAGGCTTCTGGAGTATTCTCAGATATCCTCCCGACAATTTCACTTGTTTCCAATGAACCCGCGCAGGATCTACAACATCAGGACAGTGAGAGCTGCCTGCTTTATTAACATAAGATAGGACCACTCTGTGGAAGGCAATTTACTCGGTGAGATTCTTTAGCGTTCCATGCAATTAGTGAGAGTCAACAGTGAGGAAGGAAGAGCCAGTGGAGAGGCCTAGGATTCGGATATTTTGTAGCAATCATTTTGAACCAATTGATGGAGTGGAAAGTCAAAGCTGACCACTGACGCGGCCCACATCTGCCCCACAGAGGAGATTTCTGTCAAACTTCCAGGTATCAGTGTTCAGATGGCAAAACTGGCTTTCAGTTTTCATTTGAGTTGGGGGAACGTTTTCGAGAGAAATAAACTAGGGGATGAGTCACATTTAGGGGGTGGGTTGTTCACATCACAGCAGGTACTTAGTGCTGCTTCCCATGGGTTTGTGGTACGTTCCTTCTGGGACACAGAGAGACTCAACAAGGCGCATCCTCCCTCCTCTCAGGCTAAATGGCCCACCCGTTCTACTAAGGTTCCCCTCCACACTTCTCACCCAGGCCCCTGCCTTCAACACTGACTGTCGAAGCCTTAGAAAGTCCAGAAGCTGGTGGCCAAGAGTGCCTTAAAAGAAAACCCAGCATCTGGCTTCCTCAGCGGTCACGCGTACCCAGCCAGCCGTGCAGAGCCGCCGGGAGCACTTACTGTAGTCCCCGTCGTCCTCGGGCAGAGAGGCTGCATAGTCAAAGTAGGTGGCGTTCCACCGGAGCTCACGGGTTTTGGTGTCGTACATGGTGATGGTGTACTCTGGAGAACACACACCAGCCAGTTACCTGCAGGGGCCACAGCACCTGCTGAGGTGCCAACTTTATCTACATTGCAACAGACAGACCCTCTCTACACTGTGTGTAAAGTGTCCAGGCCATCCGTGGGGCAAGAGAAAGGCCATGTGGACAGGAACCGAAGTCCCAGACACATGACAGAACCTGGCTGACAGCATGTGGAGCAGGGACAAGCCACTTGCGCTGTGCCCTTGAACTCATGACTCACAGAATCAATATCACCGTGTTTATTTACTTTTTTTTTTTTTATTGCGCATCACTATTTTATTTTTTTTATCACGGCGTCGTTTAAAACTGCCTAAGTGACCGGGTGGTTTAGCATACAGCAACAGTTAGCTGATGTTAGAAACCGGCACCCAGATGTGGGATAGGGCCACGACAACACGTGGAGACGCGTGGCACTGGCTGGGACAAGGTGGCAGGGGGAGGGTGGCAGGCCAACGTGGAGACCGAAGGAGCGGTAAGGAAACTGCTCCTGGAAGCTGCAAAGGGGTGGCCCAGGTCACACCACGGTGACATTACTAGTAGGACCACGGCTTGCAGTAACTTGGAAGAGCACAAGAAAGCACCTAAGGATCTTGCGGGTCTGGCTGAGGAGATCTCCAGGCAGAACGCAGGAAGTGCCAAGCAGTTTCTCTTAACTGCATGTGATATAATGTGAGACAGAGGGGCTGAAGAAGAAACCATTCAGTTTTCAAGCTGAATACAGAGAAAATATAGAGGGGTCAGGACTGACACTCCAGCTGGAAGAGTCTTACTGTAAAAAAGGCTTCAGGGTCAAGATCAAATCAAGCCAAACAGGTGCATACCTGGTGGAGAGGGACCTACTGCGGAACGTCTTTAAAAATAGCAATGCTTATTCTGGGAACTGATTGGAAAATGTTTAAGTCTGGGAAATACAGCCAGGGAGGAGCTAAAAGAGGCCGCAGCTGCATCATGGAGGCTTTGCAGGCTACGGTGCTGTGGGTTCATCCCTCAGGCCATGGGGAGCCATCAGGGGGGCTTCTAAAGGGGAACAACGTGGTAAAATCTGTGTTTGGAGAAGACAGCTCTGGCCACCTTCTAGAGAATGAAGCCCGGAGCAGAGACCCAGGGAGAGGCTACTTCACGGCCTTTTCTGGAAACAGGCAGGTTGTACACAACAGAAGGTCCCTTCTTACCCGTTCGCCCGAGATACAGCAGAGAGGTAGACGGGCAGAGGCTGTCTGCAAAGGCCGATGACAGGGTCTGCTGCTTCTCCCCAGTCAGAAGGTCGATAACGTACCAAATGTCCTGCTTTTTACCTGAAAGGTCACAAGGACACACTGTGGTTTATACTCACCCCATATGGAAAAAAATGTATCCCTGCCAAACTAGCAGGCCAAGATGTTTTCTGTGCTGAGAAGCCCAGAGTTCTCCTGGTGTTGAAGACATTTCTATGATGCTCTGAGAGTGACAAGGTGAATGCTACTGCAGAGATAATAAAACTTCTTGGCCCACTGGGTCTTATAATAACTTAATAGCCTAATGATAGTTTAAAAATGTCTTCAAGGGGCGCCTGGGTGGCTCAGTCGTTAAGCGTCTGCCTTTGGCTCAGGTCATGATCCCAGGGTCCTGGGATCCAGCCCCGCATTGGGCTCCCCGCTCAGCGGGAAGCCTGCTTCTCCCTCTCCCACTCCCCCTGCTTGTGTTCCCTCTCTCGCTGTGTCTCTCTCTGTCAATAAATAAATAAATAAAATCTTTAAAAATGTCTTCAAATCTAATAAAACTCAGATTTCATTGCTTTGATGAGTGGCCTTAAATGTGAAAAGCCTGGCCTCTGAAGGACAACCCTTTTCCCACAGACTAGGATCTATATAAATAGAGAAATGCACCCAGGGTTTACCTCCCTGGTAACCGTCATTCATAGATCTCCACACCCCTACTAAGGAGGCCCCATGTAAAGAGGATCTACAGTTACTGTTTATAACTCTAATTAGCTGGTGCCTGGGACTAGGTAGTAGGGTTGGTTGCAACCTGGTGGTAATGAGGCCAAACTTATCTCAGCCCCAGACTCCAGCCAGTAAGTTATTCCCCAGGCACACACACTACACCCCCACACCTTGGTCTGCTGATTAAAAGGTATGAACATGCCTCTACGGTACATACACCAGAGCAACCCGCTAATGTTGGGTCAGTAGCATGGGCCTCCCATCTAAAAGTCAACACATCCCCCATAAGGTATGCATTTCTGTTTTGTAAGGCATGGCCTCTGGTCACTGGGATCTTCCTAACTTATTGGCCAAGGGTCCTATTTCAAGGGACTCTTGGAAGCAGAGTACAGAGATGTCAGGAAGATCACATGTCTGTGATCACAGATCACAGAACAGGGCATCAGAATTTGCTGGAGCTACATTTAGTTCAACGGATGTAACATACATGCCTAGTCTACATATGTGAAACTTGTCCATGGATGATAACTTTCTGTTCTCAACGACAAAATCTTAATGTGAAAAAGATCTGCAGAGAGAGTGAAAACATCACCAAACAGCCATGCCCATGATCCCTTTCCATCTGGCATGACACCCTTCTGGTGACTTCGAGGACCATTACAGTGTGCGTAACTCAGCTACCTCTTAAAGGATGGACTGGGCAATTGCCACAGTTTTAAATATGCTTAATGAACTCACTTAAGAGGGCACCACACAAAGATGACAGAAAACACACTATCCTAAATGCAACGTAATTGATGAACCGCTGGTAAAAGCTAGAAGCCCAGACACACAACACTGACACAGACAGTCAGAAGATGGTCAGGATGGGGCGCCTGGGTGGCTCTGGTTAAGCGTCTGCCTTCAGCTCATGTCATGATCCTGGGGTCCTGGAATCAAGCCCCACGTCTGGCTCCCTGCTCAACGGGGAGCCTGCTTCTCCCTCTGTCCCTCCCCCCGCTTGTGCTCGCTCTCTCTCTCAAATAAATAAATAAATAAAATCTTAAAAAAGAAGACGGCCCAGGAGAGAGAGGGAAAGCCTATGTTGATCACTTCCTCTGAATCTCGAGGCTTGGGGCTTCCTCATCCTGAAGGTGTGGAAGAAAGCAACAGCCCCTGTGTCCAGGCAAAAAATTAAAACCCAGCCTGCACTTGAGGCCCAGAAATATACATAAAGCTCCCGAGGCGTGAATAGGCAATAAGCACTTTCAGTTCCTCAGAAGGAAAGCTGCTATGTAAATACAGGATATTATTACTACTATGATTTCAAGATAAACACAGCTCTCCTTTGTATTACAAATGCATTTTTGTTGACATTTTGGCAGCAACATGGTAAAAGAAAAGGAGGGGATCTGATGCTTTCAAAGAGGTGACCCCATAGGTATGAAGCAGCTTATCTAGCCAAGCTGTTAAGTGCTGGTTTATCCAATATTCTGATAGCAGGAAATACTAAGAAAGTCCTATAATTAATAGGCAGAACCTGGCTTCCCTTTCTTGGCTCAGACTATTGTGTTCACTTTAAATTTCTCCAATTGCTTCTGGGTATGTTGCAATCTTTAAATCACAGGGTAAGTCAACACAGCAGCTAAAAGCTTGTTAAATGAATAACCATATTAATGGTGTCAAATCTGCTCCCAAGTGGGGGGAACCTTTCTTAATTGGTCAGCTGATCCTGGCGTGAACAAGCACAACCGAGGCAAGAAAGACCTTTCCCAGAAGGGCTGGTGGGGAGTCAATGCACACCTCTCTCTCTGACGCGCCACTTTCCCAGATTCTGGGACTCATTTCCAAAGAGATCAAAGTCTCAGTGTTGAAAACAAGAACTCTTACCCATGTAGAGAATTCCGTCTGAACTTCGGCATGGGGATGCCTGTACCAACTCGGGGATGGTAAAAGGAAGTTTCTGTAAAAAAGGAGGCAAAGGAAAAAATAAGTTAACCAAGTCTTGTGCAATTATTATAATTTTACTGCACAGTCTGTTTCTATTACCCAATTCTGCTAAAAAGACAGAAGCAGTGTGGATGGTTGATGGGAGTTTTCCTAACTGGAAACCAAGGAGAAGGGCCGCCCCAGGCTTCCATAACCACTTTGAACAAGCCTCCAGCTCCCAGATCCTCCCCCCGACAGAAGCCCCTTAAAGTGTCTTGTCCAGAGCACTTCTGGGGGAAACACAAACCTTTTCTGAGAAGACTTATACAAATATGGAGAAGTTACACAATCTTTGAAATTTGGAGGGGGGGTGCAGAAAGAATTCTCTTGTCTTTGAAAATTGACCCGCAGCCAGCTAGGCTGGGTGGAATGACATGCTTTTCAGAGTGTGGATGAGCCATGAGATTAATTCTGAAGAAAAGCAACCTCAGTACCCAGCTGAAGCTTTAAGGGAAAGGAGAAGTAGTCATTATGTGGGTGACCCAGGAGTTTGAGGTGGAAGTCACTTTGATGTTTTCATTGAATAATGCTCTACTGAAAAAACAAGAGAATTAAGCCTTTTGGTATTAAAAATAAATTATGGTAGGTACCAGGAAAAGAAACTCAAACTCAAAAGAATTCACATGTTTCAACTGCATTTCATCATAAAACTGAGTCTTCTGAGTCTACAGCTGACATGTGACGAGTTCCTTTGGTTAATGTTTGTTTCGGTATACTTTATTTTTGGAACATTCTGTGTTCTTGAAACTATTCTATAGATACCTGCTTCTACTACACTGTCATCTTTTTCTCCAAAAAAAAAGATTTCTCTCTAGCTTTAATAAACAGAACTTGAGGGCACCTGGGTGGCTCAGTTGGTTAAGCGACTGCCTTCGGCTCAGGTCATGATCCTGGAGTCCTGGGATCGAGTCCCGCATTGGGCTCCCTGCTTAGCAGGGAGTCTGCTTCTCCCTCTGACCCTCTTCCCTCTTGTGCTCTCTATCTCTCATTCTCTCTCTCTCAAATAAATAAATAAATCTCTCAAATAACCTCAAATAATCTCTCTCAAATAAATAAATAAAATCTTAAAAAAAAAATAAACAGAACTTGAAATAATCAATCATTTGGATTTTCCCATTATCCCCACATTTAAAAGGAGAAATGCCACAGGAGGCTGTCATGGCTGACTGGGTTTTTGCCAGATGTTTTGGAGAATCAGAAGGTCGTTGCAAGGCTTCTAGTCTGGAGCCCTATAGTCTGCTGAGCATTTCTACAGGCCTCCTGTTCAAGGCCCAAGCTGGGAAACACATGGCTCACGGAACTGTTAACCCACAACACAGGAAGACGTGAGGGGTGGTGGTCAGAGCATCCTTTGGAAGTTCGAGCTCAAGTCCCAAGTTCCAACACTTGACACTTTGGCCTTGGGCACATTCCTTCACCTCTATGGGTGAAGTTTCCACGCCTCTTATGTAGGATAACATCTCTATCCCAGAGGGCTGCTGAAACATGAGACAACTTCCACAAATCGCTGCACACAGTGTCTAGCAAACAGAGCACTCAGAAACAGGCTCTGGGGATATGAAGGGAAATGCTGACGGTGGGGCAAGCACACCTGTACGAAAGGCTTGCCTTCCTCCCATCGGTTCCAGTCATGGGTATTCAGAAGATAAGGTTAAAATATCCCGATTAGGGGGCGCCTGGGTGGCTCAGTCATTAAGGGTGTGCCTTCGGCTCAGGTCATGATCCCAGGACCCTGGGACTGAACCCCACAACGGGCTCCCTGCTCGGCCGGAAGCCTGCTTCCCCCTCTCCCACTCCCCCTGCTTGTGTTCCCTCTCTCGCTGTGTCTCTCTCTCTGTCAAATAAATAAATAAAATATTTTTAAAAAAAGAGTCCCAATTAGAGCTCACAGCCACTTACATTCTAGACCACTGGTTCTCAACCTTGGCTGCACATTAGAATCACTTGGAGGCTTTTTAAAAAAAAAAAAAGACTTTCTATTGAAGCAGAACATACAAATGGCATACGGAAGTGTACAGTTCAGCTCAGTGAAATTGAGCAAAGTGAACCAACCCACATAGCCAGCATCCACATGAAGCAGCAGGACATTTCCAGCACTCTGGAAGCCCTCTTCTTGCCTTCCCTTCCAATCGTAACCTTCCACAGTAATCATTATCCTAACTTCAAAACAGCATAGACTAGTTTTTCCTGTCTTGGAGCTTTATATAAATGAATCATTCAGTGTGCAGCCTTTCTTGTTTGTCATCTTTTGTCCAACCTCTGGTTGGTGAGGTTCATCCATGTTACCATGTAGAGTCGCAGACTGTTGCTTCTCACAGGTATAGACTATTAAATTGTATCACTGTTCCACAATTTCTTTATTCTGTCTACTATTGATGCTGTCTGGGCAGTTTTCACCTCTCAGTTATTCTCAGTAACGCTGCAGTACATTTGGGCACCTGTCTTTGGTGAACACACACAGGCATTTATGTTGGGTACATAATAACCTGGGAAGGCTTACTGGGTCATAAAGCTTTACAGATTCTGCCAAACGGTTTCCAAACTGGATATGCCAAGTTGCCCTTGCTCCAGCAGTGTCCAAGAGCTCTGGTTGCTCCACTCCCCACCCCAACACCTGTTTTGTCTATTTTCCTCATCTTAGCCACTCTAGTGAGTGTGTAGTAGTAGGACATTGTGATTTTTATGTGCATTTCCCTAATAACTAATGAAGCTGAGTATCTTTTTGTATGTTTAATGACCATTTGGATATCCTCTTCTGCTATTTCTCTGTTGGGTTCTCTTTTTAATAATCCATAGTTCTTCACATATTCTGAATATGAATCCTTTGTTGGGGTCATACGTGTATTGCCGGTACAGTGTGGCCTGCCTCTCTTAATGAAGAAAAACTCTTAATTTTAATATAAACCAATATATTGTTTTTTTCCTTTATGGTTAGTGTGGGGTGTTTCTGTTTAGTTTATCTCATTCTACTTAAGAAATCTTTTCTGGGGCACCTGGGTGGCTCAGCTGGTTAAGTGTCCAACTCTTGGTCTTGGCTCAGGTCTTGATCTCACGGTCTTGTTTTCAACCCTGCATTGGGCTCCATTGGGCTCCAAAAAAAAAGAAAAGAAAAGAAAGAAAGAAATCCTCTTCTACTCTAAGGTTGTGAAGATGTTCTGCTACTTTTTTTCTTAAAGTTTTATTTCACATTTCACACTTAGGTATGCCATCTCTCTGAAACTAAGTTTCGTGTGTCTGGTGTGAGGCAGGAGTTAAGATACTTTTTCATGGACATCCCAGCTGACACATGCCATTTATTGAAAGACCACCCTTCCCCACTGCACCGCAGCATCACCCTTGTCATAAATCAGGTGACCATATGTGTGGACCTGTTTCTAAATTCTCTTATCCGGGGAGCTTTTAAAAATTGCTGATGACCTAGATCAATTAAGTGGAAACTTTTGGGATTGGGATCTAGACTTTTTTTTTTTTACAGTTCTCCATGTATTACAATGTGTAGCTAAGGCTGAGAACCACTGGTCTAGATTCTCAAATGACGATGGGATGGGAATGGAATATCACTAGCTCCCCATGCCAGAAGGGGACATTTGCTGGGGTGGGTGGGGGTAGGCAATGCTTCAAACTACCCTCCACCCCCAATTTGAGAATCTCTAGTTAGAGGAAGTCCTGCTGTTAAAGGGAGTTTTCTACCCTTCCAGTGTGCTGGCTAGACCATGGGAACCTGCTGGTCCAGATCAGCGTTTCTGAATTCTGGCTGCCATTTAAAAGCTCATTTAGATGGGTGCCTGGGTGGCCCAGTCGGTTAAGCGTCTGCCTTCGGCTCAGGTCATGATCCCAGGGTCCAGGGATTGAGCCCCATATCGAGCTCCCTGTTCAGCGAGAAGCCTGCTTCTCCCTCTCCCTCTGCCCCTCCCCACCACTCGTGATCTCTCTCTCTCAAATAGATAAAATTTTTAAAAATAAAAAAAATAAAAGCTCATTTGGGAAGCTTTATTTATTTATTTTATTTATTTTTTTTTTAAAGATTTTATTTATTTATTTGACAGAGAGAGACACAGCGAGAGAGGGAATACAAGCAGTGGGAGGGGGAGAGGGAGAAGCAGGCTCCCCGCAGAGCAGGGAGCCTGATGCGGGGCTCGATCCCAGGACCTGGAATCATGACCTGAGCCGAAGGCAGACACTCAACGACTGAGCCACCCAGACGCCCCTGGGAAGCTTTAAAAAAAAAAAGATATTGATGCCCAGATCTCACTCCAGACCACCTGAATCACAATCTCCAGGAATTTTTTTTTTTTAAGCTCTTAGGTGATCTCAATGTGCAATAGTTGAGGACCACTGGTCTGGAACCTCTGAAGTACACAAAGAATCTAAATACACTCACCGTCAGGCCTTCATTATTCTTGCCCCCAAGCGTATACAGGCTGCCATCATTGGGATCTGGGAGGAAGGCAGGCCTAGAGGTTGAGCAGTAAGTATTAGTAATAAATTATAGAACAGGGCACAGAACAAAATATCAAAGCCATGCAAAGTCATGATTGGGGGAGGGGGGCATGTGTGTGTATAAGACAATTCCACCCACCGCTCTTTCACTTTTAGCCACAAATAAAATATCCCTATGGTGATAGGCTATATTTGAGCAGAAAAAAGCAACCTGCAAGAAAAAAAAAGTAAAAAACCATAGAAGAGTAAATCATCATTTGGTCAAAGCACTCTGGATGATGATGAATAAGTGAAAAAGGACCCAGTAAGTCTGCTTTTCAGTTTCTAAGTCAATTGTGTATAGAACTTCAACAATTAATATTTAGTAGCATGGAACAGTACATAAACAGGTAGGACAAATCTACCTTTAGTGTTCAACAAACATTTATTTTTAAACTGGAGGCAATAAAAGCAGACTCTGAAAGCTTGACATCAGAGAAAACATGCCAAGGAGATGGATGATGGTCTCCAGTCCGTGGCTTCCTGCGAAGTAGATACGAGGTGGTCTTTGGTAAGGTTAACCTGGTGAAGTCTGAACTAGGACTAGGAACTCAAAAACCCCTTGCTGAATCTTTTCTGTGCTTAGGATGTCCCATCATTTGAGCTCTTACAGGGGCCATAACATACTCTCTAGTAGCAGGTCACGTTCATGTTTCCTTCCCATGGTACGACACAGTGAAGAGGGAGAGATCTAAACCCTCTGGCAGGACTTTGGCAGCTTAAGCTCAAAACTCAACTTGAGTTTCATCTCAAGGAAGCCTTTTTAATATCACTGCCTCCCTCCCCCCAAGAACTGACCACCCAACACAGGTCATAGCACCTGTAAGACTTAATGTCTCCACCATTCTTATTATACCTTAAGTGTATAAAAGTGTATGCATATATGCACTCCCAGCAGCTAGCTTCCTAAATATTGATTGAATAATTAAGAAAATGAATTTTTGAAAAAAGGAAAATGAATTAAAGGGAACACTTACTCTTCCACATGTGTTGGAACCTGCAGAACCGGATCTGTGCAAAAGAACAACAAAGGCATCACCAGACAGACTATAAAATATCAGGATTCCAAGAAGGTCCCCAGGACAGATTCACAGGTGGTATCAAAATCTTAAATTTACCAGATAATGTATATGAAGGCACTTTGGAAAACACACCCAGGGATGCCTGGGTGGCTCAGTCAGTTAAGCCTCTGCCTTCTGCTCAGGTCATGATCCCAGGATCCTGGGATTAAGTCCCGCATCGGGCTCCCTGCTCAGGAGGAGTTGGCTTCTCTCTCTCTCCCTCTGCTCCTACCCCTCTCTCGTACTCGCTCTCTCTCAAAATCTTAAAAAAAAAAAAAAAAAAGACAACACACACCCAAAGACACAGATTGTCACCGAGACTGGCTAGAGAACATAGCAGAATGGAACTGATGTCAAGAAATGTGCACACAGGGGCGCCTGGGTGGCTCAGTAGGTTGAGCACCTGACTTTTGATTTCAGCTCAGGTCATGATCTCAGTATCGTGAGATCAAGCCCCATGTCAGGCTCCATGCTCAGTGCAGAGTCTGCTTGAGGATTCTCTCTCTCCCTCTCCCCCACCACTCTAAAATAGATAAATCAATCTTAAAAAAAAAAAGAAAAAAGAAACATGCACATAACTTGGAGGATGGACATCGAAGGAAGAACCAGTCACAACCCACAGTGGACAATGAGTCATAGTGTCTCTGACACATCAAGGACTTTTAAAACCGAAGCCATCACCTTGTCACAGATTCCTGGAGTGATACTAGGAACTCCCATTGGGAAAAACAAAACTGTGGCTTAAGAATAAATTTTCCTGTTGATGAGAAATTGGTTGATGGTAAATGGATACACCCCACTGGGGCAGCAATATGGCGATCTGAGAGCCTCCAAGGGCTTGTTTCCCTTGATTCCCTTTGATCCATAAATTATTCCCTTTCTATAAAAATCTAGATTAAAAGTAATATGAAACATAGAAAATGCTTTGTGTACAAAGATGCTCACAGTAGCATTACAACAGACTATTCAATAATTACAATTAACTATTCAATAATATGGTTAAATTAGGGAATGTCCACTTGGCAGAAAATTAAGGCTTCTAAAAGGGCTTATACAATTTTAAAAACATGTACAAATCTTTACATTGTGATGTTCAGGAGAAAAGATAACATTATACAGAGTATTAATGCAGCTGAGGAGAAAATCTTCAATGCACATAGAAAAAAAATGATGGAAAGGCAAAAAAACATGCCAAGTTATTTTTATTGGAAGTAACTCCCCCAACTTTTGTGTAGTTCCCAAAATCTAAACAGGCATTACTTTTTAAACTGGGGGGGAAAGCGTTTTCTCAAAGTCAATTTTATATTTTCAGTAGTCAAAACTGGGAGAATTTCTCCCTCCCCAGATTCTCCCAGGCACGAAGCAGAGGATGCTCCTGGTTCCTGGAGGCTGATGGCGGTGGCATGAGGGCGCACCGACATGACACAGCGCGAAAATCCACAGGCGTAGGACCGCGCAGTCCTGAGGGATTCCCAGCAACCAAAGCCCCATGGGCCGCACAGCCATGGCGTCCGCAACTTCAAAGCCAGGGCTGAGGATGGCAAATAGTGTCACAGGGTTTTGGATGCAGTGTGCCAGGCTCCACGGGCTGTGCCGGTCGTGACAGACGGCTGCCTGATTCTCCCAGTCGCCTGGGGTTCTCAGATGAAGAGAACTCTTTCAAGCCTTATCATCTGTTGACTTTGCTCTACAAGCCCAGCTCCTACGCAAAAGCATACACGGTGTTCACGGGGACAGGAGCGCACACAGCACATGTGGTCTGTGGGCAGCAAACAAACAATTCATTAAGCCAAAAACACTTTAGGAAACAGGAGGAACTTTCAGTTAGGAAGCCTCTGTTTAGCGTCCCCATTAGTCACCTCTCGGTACACTCTCACAAACAGACTGATGCAAGAGACAGGAAACAAGAGCGCGTGGTGTTCACCTGCTGAAAGGGGCCACGGTGCCATCACAGCCCAGCTCCTGCGACCCAGCCCGGATGGCGTGCAAGCCCGGAGGAGCGAGAATGCCACATGCGGTGTGAACAAAGCACGGCAGTCAGAAGGCCTCTTTTTTTGTTCATCTCGGCTGCTTTGAGGTACCACAGATAAACACAGCTGAAGAGGACGCTGCCGGATTCCCGCCCTTCCCCGGCAACAAGACACAGAGACCGACAGGATTTCCAGTCCTGGTCACAGGCTCATGTTTGCCGGACAGCACTTGCGCCCGCTCAGGCACCTGTCTTCAGGCGCAGGTTTTCCTGGTTTTCTGGAGCTCATCCGCTGGTCACCTGACACCGAGGCCTGAAGTCCCAACATGTGTCCTGCACCCAACAGGTTCCCGGGAAGACACAGGCCACTGGCAGGAGCCAGGGAACAACCCGTGGGACAGATATACGGGTGTCTAAGAACTGTGTAAGAATTCTAGAATTCTAGGCTTAGGAGGACAGGAACTCCAGCAGGAAGAGCTTCTGGTTATCTTAGCATTCCCATTCACTCAGTAAGATACAGTCCGTGGAATGAACATGTGCAGAGTTGGAAGCCATGTAATAGCACCACCATTAAGTCAGCTCCCACGGGTGAGCAAAATGCTGCTTGGCTTCTGAGGGGGAGCGGTGACCTATACCCTAGGTTTTTGTTTTCTTAAACAATCATTTGCATCTGTGATCTACTTTAAAATACTTTAGAAAAAAGGGGCACCTGGGTGGCTCAGTGGGTGAAAACGTGTCCAACTCTTGATTTCAAGACCCGGTCTTGATCTCAGGGTGGTGAGATCGAGCCCTGTGCTCAGCGCAGAATCTGCCCGTCCCTCTCCCTCTGCCTCTCCCCCTACCTGCATGCATGTGTGCTCTCTCTCTCTCAAATAAACAAAATCTTTAAAATACTCCAAAAAGGGCAGATAAAATGAAAAATGGCAACCAACTGATAACTGTTAAAGATGAAAGTGGCAACACTGGGGAGTTATTTTGCTATTCCTTCTACATATGCTTGAAATTCTCCATAACAGGGCGCCTGGGTGGCTCAGTTGGTTAAGCGACTGCCTTCGGCTCAGGTCATGATCCTGGAGTCCCGGGATCGAGTCCCGCATCGGGCTCCTTGCTCAGCAGTGAGTCTGCTTCTCCCTCGGACCCTCCCCCCTCTCATGCTCTCTATCTCATTCTCTCTCTCAAATAAATAAATAAAATCTTTAAAAAAAAAAAAAAAGAAAAAAGAAATTCTCCATAACATAAAAGGTTAGAGATAAAAAAATATTTGGAAAGCCAGCAAAATAAAAGCAAACAGCATCATCTTTTGAAAATGTGCAATGAAAGCCCAACGTGGAAAAGTGGTGGTTTTTATTTAATAATGAGAACTGGTATCAGGCAAGATTCTTGCTTTAAAAAAAAAAAAATTCAGCCATGTGAAAAGAAACCTGGCCTAAATATAAGGCTATAAACAAACACTGCTACAAAATAAGCCACTCTATCTATATGGAGACTGATAAAAGCCATCTCACAAAGCTGTTTTACTTTCAGAAGGGAAAAAAGGGGTGGGGGTAGAGGGGGGCTTGCTTTGCAAGTATGAAAACGGGTTAATCAAGGTAAAGGTAAGGCTACCAGAGGAGGAACTGACAGGGGCAGACATAAACCTGCTCACTGCTCCCCAGAGAGCAGCCACCAGACTGGATCCGATTCCCCTAATGGGTCCAGCTCAGGCTTGAAATGGCATAATCTTTACACCCAGAGAGACCCAGGTGAGGTTGTGTGACCTCACTGCCACTGTTGTGCTCATCGAAGCCTCTTTTTTAACCAGGGACAGAAATGCCTCAAAACAGATGGTCACATTCTTCCTTTGCCCAAGTGCACAAGGGTGAAAACCTAAACATTTTTATTCCCACAAGACATGAATTTTCGTCTTTCCATGAATACCTGTTCCACCTTCATTCTCCATCCCATCCTCTCTGGAACCTCATGCCCTCTCCCTCTGTGCTGGGCCACACGTGGACTCTTGACTTTGCTCCATCCTGAGCTATGGGTCTTTGTGGCTCCATCCAGCAGCACCAACAGCCCTACCCTTTTGGCTGCTTCTCCACCACTCTGGCGAGCCCATGTACCTGCTGCTCTGACCAGCCTCTAGGAGGCGGCCACTTCCTATTCCATGGCTCGCCCTGCCCCTTGAGTCTCTCACCTCTTGGGCTCTGTGGCCCTTCACGGCCTGATTTCTGCCCCCTCCTTGACTCCCTCCCTCCCTATTCCCACAGGAAGGGACATTTCCAGGTCCTCCCTTGAGTGCTCTCAGAGAGCACACCCATCCCTGAAGCTTCAACCACAACCACGATGGGAGATTCCAGGTCCCCATCATCTTCTAAGCCCTTCTTTCTGGATCAACCAGACATTTCCACTATTTCCTACCAGCACCTCAGCCACCACCCGCCAAAGTCATGCCCTCCATCTTTTAACTCAAACCTACTTCTACTATTGACACCCTATTTTATTAACAGTACCACTATTCTCTTAGAAGACGGGCAAAAAAAAAAAAAAAAAAAAAGAAGATAGGCAGGCTCCAAATGACACTGTTGACACTCATTTCTCCCCAACACATCCTGTCAGCTGCCAAACTCCAGGGTTTGTTTCCTACACCCAGTATCCCTCCATCATCAGAACCCCTTCCCTTTTAAGGGCTCCTTTTTCTCTGGTCTTTGTGGCCTTTGGAATCAGATGAGTCTATGCTTCAGTCCTAACTCTCCCAAATTACCTAATCTCTCTGGGCCTGAATTTCCTCATCAATAAAGAAAGAAAAAAAATAGATAATAACACCAACCTCATAAGGCATCTCTATGTGGATTAAATAAGGACTAAATGTTTGTCAAGACTTGAAGTCTGTGCCTTGACACAGAGAATGGTGATCCTTTTAAGGGCAGAAGTCAGATTATTCTTCTCTACCACTCAAAATCTTTTGGTGATTCCCATCTCAATCATAAAGGCCAGTGGTC